GTGGCCCAGCCAGAGCCTGGACTTGAACCCGATCGAACATCTCTGGAGAGACCAGAAAATAGCTGTGCAGCGACACTCCCAATCCAACCTAAGGGAGCTTGAGAGGATTTGCAGATAAGAATGGGAGAAACTCCCCAAATATAGGTGTACCAAGCTTGTAGCGTCATACCAAAGAAGACAAGGCTGTAATTGCTGCCAAAGGTGCTTCAACTAAGTACTGAGTAAAGGGTCTGAATACTTATGTAAATGTGATGTAAAAAATGCATTTAATCCATTTTAGAATAAGGCTGTAACAAAATGTGGGAAAAGGGAAGTAGTCTGAATATTTTTCGAATGCACTGTATATCTTGAAAACTTGATTGCTTACATGCAAAACATTTTGTGACTATATCAACAATGGACTAATGAAACAAATACCAAAAGGTAGTTTTTGGGTTGAGCTGACAGACAGCGTGTGGCTTAGGGGTGGCCCATTCATTTTCAATGAAGCATAGGCGGAATGGTCAGCAGGCTCATGCCATTGGAAAACGCTCTGCCGCGGTAGAGAAAATAGGATTCTGCTCTATTTTTCAAGCGTTGCTGTCGTTGTTGACCAATCAAAGTAGCAGCAGGGCCAGCTAACTGCCCCACTCTAGCTAGCTAGCTTGCTGACACTATTAGTTTACAGAGTCACGTTTAACAATAAAAATCTTTGTTTTCTAATAAAACATTTTGTTAATAATTTCTGTTGCATATAAATGCTTTTTATGCATGCTTATGGTGTTATAGTGATTAACTTTTCGGACTTCGATAATGTTTGTTTTTTCATTGCTATGGTCACTGGTGGCTGTCACCCTTGTGTGTGAAGGCACTAGCCACTTTGACTGGAGGGACAAGTGGGGTACTCAGCGATATTCCGCTGGCTGTCTGAAAAGCGCTTTAGAGCTGTCAAATACACAAGCAGCTCCCAGCGTTATACCTAAAGCTGACATTGCCATTGGCTGCACAGAGTTTCATTCCCATGCAGCGTTGTTTACAAGTTTAAACAATGGAATATGAGATGTGAGCTACACCTCAATTAGGCTGTCACGTTCGTTTAAGGAGGGGTCAGACCAAGGCGCAGCGTGAAATGCGTACATGTTTATTGAAATGATAAACACACAAAGTCCTAAGGCTACACACAAAACAAGGCTACTCACAGAACAAGGTCCCACAACTAATGCATGCCAACAGGCTGCCTAAGTATGATCCCCAATCAGAGACAACGAGCGACAGCTGTCTCTGATTGGGAATCACACCCGGCCAAACATAGATATACAACACCTAGACTGAAACATAGAAAACACAACATAGAATATTCACACCCTGACTCAACATATAAGAGGCTCTTTGCTTCACTGCTTTGAATACTATGATGTGTTAAGGTTTATGGCAGTTTAGTTTGCATTACCCCCGAGGTGTCCCCTACCTTGAAACATACAAGATGAAGAAATTAAACATCTTTAAACAAAATGCACACTGAGGTAATGCAGAAAGTGCATTTATTCACAATTAATTAATAATTATTGTTCACATGTAATCATAAAATGAACGTTCTCTCTGCTGAATAATATAAATAACATTTCTGCAATGTAGCAGGCTCTAAAATTAAAGTTAGATTCCATACTGTCCAGCAGACAATGACAAAGGACATTTTTATGTAAAATCAAGCTGGCAAAAGAGGATCATTCATTAGAACCAAATTTCAGCAGTCTTGAACATCAGCCATATGAGGGCCAGCTTCATTCAAATAAATTGAGAATTTTGTGCTTGGGCAAGAAAGTATGTAATGTGACCTATCCATTGATAAGTCAAAGTTATATTCAATTTTCTGTACCACAGGGTAAGATTAACTCAACGTAACTAGATATTAGTTCAAAATAGGGAATTAATGAGGGAATTAATAACTTGAAAATCATTTAAATAAAGTTATGTAGTAAGAATATATGATGTTCAAACATAAAAATGTATGCTACACAGCATCATTAAGAGTACACCTTTTTATATACCGTGTGCCTCCTTTTCAAAGGGGCAAGAGTATCAAGTCTTTCCCGATATGAGTTATGAGTAGCACCAGGTGGGTCATTGTTTTATGTATTTGCACTGCTGCCTGCAAGCCCCTTGTGGGATAAATACAGTATTTTAAATTGAATTGATTTGTTCTCTCAGATAAGATCACAATTTAAGTTCAATTGCTATTCTACACATCCCTGGGGTTTAGTTTTGAAAGAATATGCAAAGCCTCAATTCCAATATTCCTCAAGTCAAATATTCCTTCCTCTGGTAAATTAAATGGAATAATGGAAGTGCATAAGCAGCTCATCATTGAATATATATTTTTTATAACCTAGCTAACACCTTAAAAGGTAGTTAGTTCAATATGAAAATTAAAATGAACTAAACAAATCATTACCATATGGTATCGATCTTTGATTTTATTCTAAATAAATATGATTGGTCAAATGGAGCAATGGGAAAAATCTAAGAATTGATACAAAACATCCACATTTGATTCAAGAGAGCTGATTTACCACTCCTTCAAATATACAGTAGGCTGACTTATGTTGTCACAAGACCAGAGCAGAAATACACTTCTAAGGTGGTGAATGATACATACTGTACGTATAAGACATTAGGTAGTGTCTTCAAGAAAATAATGAAACATTGATAAAGATTTACATTAAAGCTACAGTCTGCAACTTGGGAAGCTGTTTAATGGTTATTTCAATTCTTGATATTTACCCATTGATTCTGGAAGAATATACTTATAAATGCTGCATGAGCTTCAGCACAACTCTCTGTCTTTGTCATAAACCAAAATTGTTCTAGCCCTATCCATCAAGTGCACCCAAAACAAGTGGCAGGGACACTGTTTGGTTTATTTTTGTTTTTCAAATCTCAGACTGTAGCTTTAAGAGATTTCAAATAACTTACATGCTGTAATGAACTGATAGAACACATACACAAAGCTTTACAACAAGATGACATACACACATAACTATGTGAAACAATATTACATGAAATATACATTAAACTTCGCAACAAAGTGACTTAAAAACATGCACAAGACATTCTGCAGATGACATTTAACATATGAGAAGATGTAGCAACAGACGTTTTAAATACAACATACAAAACATTTGAAGATAAATGTTTACTTAAACCAGGCACAAGGCTTAGTCAGCACAGAAACATTTTAAACATGCAAAAAGCGTTAAAGGCCCAGTGCAGTCAAAAATTAGATTTTTCTGTGTTATATATACAGTGCAGTCAGAATCCATTCAGACCCCTTGACTTTTTTGACATTTTGTTACATTATAGCCTTATTCTATTTATTTATTTTGTTACATAAGTATTCAGACCCTTTAGTCAGTACTTTGTTGATGCACTTTTGGCAGGGATTACAGCCTTGAGTCTTCTTGGGTATAATGCTACAAGCTTGGCACACTGTATTTGGGGAGTTTATCCCATCCTTTTCAGGTCTCTTCAGAGATGTTCGATCGGGTTCAAGTCCGGGCTCTGGCTGGGCCACTCAAGGACATTCAGAGACTTGTCCCGAAGCCACTCCTGCGTTGTCTGGAGCAGGTTTTCATCAAGAACCTCTCTGTACTTTGCTCCGTTAATCTTTCCCTCGATCCAGACTAGTCTCCCAGTCCCTGCCGCTGAAAAACATCCTCACAGCATGATGCTGCCACCACCATGCTTCACCGTAGTGTCCCGAGTGGCGCAGTGGTCTAAGGCACTGCATCGCAGTGCTAGCTGTGCCACTAGAGATCAAGGTTCTAATCCAGGCTCTGTCGTAGCCGGCCAGGACCGGGAGACCCATGGGGCGGCGCACAATTGGCCCAGCGTCGTCCAGGGTAGGGGAGGGAATGGCCGGCAGGGTTGTAGCTCAGTTGGTAGAGCATGGTGTTTGCAACACCAGGGTTGTGGGTTCGATTCCCACGGGGGGTATGAAAAATAAACAAATAATGTATGCACTCACATATAAGAGCGTCTGCAAAATTACTAAAATGTAATGTAAAATGTGCCAGGTTTCTTCCAGATGTGACGGTTGGCATTCAGGCCAAAGAGTTCAATCTTGGTTTCATCAGAGCAGAGAATCTTGTTTCTCATGGTCTGAGAGTCCTTTAGGTGCCTTTTGGCAAACTCCAAGCGGGCTGTCATGTGCCTTTCACTGAGGAGTGGCTTCCGTCTGGCATCTCTACCATAAAGGCCTGATTGGTGGAGTGCTGCAGAGATGCGTGTCTTTCTGGAAGGTTCTCCTATCTCCACAGAGGAACTCTGGAGCTCTGTCAGAGTGACCATCAGGTTCTTGCTCACCTCCCTGACCAAGGCCCTTCTCCCCTGATTGCTCAGTTTGGCCGGGCGGCCAGCTCTATGAAGAGTCTTGGTGGTTCCAAACTTCTTCCATTGAAGAATGATGGAGGCCACTATGTTCTTGGGGACGTTCAATGCTGCAGACATTTTTTGGTACCCTTCCCCAGATATGTGCCTCGACACAATCCTGTCTCGGAGCTCTGCGGACAATTCATTCGCCCTCGTGGCTTGGTTTTCGCTCTGACAAGCACTGTCAACTGTGAGACCTTATATAGACAGGTGTGTGCCTCCAATCAATCAATCAATTGAATTCTCCAATCAAGTTGTAGAAACATCTCAAGGCTGATGAATAGAAACAGGATGCACCTGAGCTCAATTTTGAGTGTCATAGCAAAGGGTCTGAATACTTATGCAAATAAGGTATCTAAAAACCAGTTTTCACTTTGTCATAATGGGGTATTGTGTGTAGATTGATGAGGATTTATTTTTATTTCCTCCATTTTAGAATAAGGCTGTAACTTATGTGGAAAAATGTGGAAAAATGGAAGGGGTCTGAATACTTTCCGAATGCACTGTATATATATATATATTTACACACTATGAGGTTGGAATAATACTGTGAATTTGAGAAAATTATGATAATGCCCTTTTAGTGTAAAAGCTATTTGAGTAAATGTGTTAATAAACCAATGAAAAAGAGAGTTCCAAACCTCTCTGCCAATAACATATTGTTTACCCTCCCCACTCAGACCACTCGCAGACAGACCTAGCAAAATTCTTGCTTGAGAAATTGCTCTTTGCCTGTTTATTTTTTACAATTTTAATTGAAAACAATCATAGTAAGCTACTTAATTGTTACCCATAAATGATTTGATATTGAGATAAAAACCTCTGCTTTGGACCTTTAAAGAAGAAATCATTAAAAAACATTTAAAACATTGTTATGATCAAATATCATTAGAAGTTAATAATGTTTAGCCCATTGGAGATCATTAAGTAATGTTATCATATCACAAAAACTCACCATGATCAGCCAAAGCTGTCCAAAGATCCTCCACTTGTGTCCAAATCCCATTATTCTTCAATTTTGGATTAAAAAGCAAACTTCATCAAATCAACAATTTTTGTTTAATTCTTTCATTTAATATGTGATTGACCTTCAGCTGATTTTAATGCCAAAGGTATTTTTTCCAATCCCCGGCTATCTGTGAACAGATAAAATCCTGTCAAAAAATTACATGTTGAAGTGCTTTCTTTGTCACTTCAGATTAGAATAATAAGATGTCAAGAAATTATATGCAGGATTGGTTGGCCACCCTCAGTTTAGAAAACACAAAGTATACCACTTCAATGATACTGTAAATTGTCTCTTCTGATTTCCATCTTTAAATTGTAAAAAAACAGTGTCTTTCCATTTCCATTTACACTGTCTTCCATGGTCTCTGACCTGATTGCACATGCTCTGAACATTAGTGTGTCACTAGTTCCGTTCCAGGTAATTTGAGGGGACCCAGCCTTTTCGAGGTTGACCTCCGTCCAGGATCTGGCAGTACCACCACCCATTAGGGTTCCTCTCCAGAACCTCCAGAGTCGTTCCTTCAGGGAACCCCATTGTCTCCTCGTCACCATGGTAATCCGCTATGGAGACATACACCTCACGGAGGTTGTTGTGGATGAGGTGGGATTTGGGTTTCACCGTGGAAATAGGTAGACTGTTCCTCTGAGACCCCCGGCCCAGTGATTCGGAGCTTCCCGTGCCGGGGCTGTTCCGGTTTGCCATGTTACCGTTCGGCGCTGGGCCCCGCGGGGTAGTACCAAAGGAAGCGTTGCGGCGCACGGTGGGACTAGAGCGTGTGTGGTCAGTGGAGTTGAATGACTCACCGCTCCTGAGGGAGCCTACTGGGCTTGGCCCGTCGATGATCGGCCCAGAGATTAAGACAGACTGAGGCCTGACCACCTGCTGCTGTTTTGTAACATTCTTCTGCTTGTGCGAGCCATTGAACAGACCAAAGGGCTTGGAGAGCACCCCCAGGGGTTTGGAGGGGATGGTCGGTATGCTCCTCTTTAGGCTCTGGTTGATGTTGTTCATGGCCTGGACCCTCTGCTCGTTCTTCTCCAGGCTGTTGGACTTGCTCAGGCTGCCCGGCTTGGTAGGGGTGCCATCGGACTCTGACCCAGCTGTGTCGTCCAGCTGCCTGACAGGCTCCAGGTAGTAAGTTGGAGCCCAGCCCTCAGCGTCACCCCAGCGGGCGTACCACCAGCCGCTCTCCTGCTTCTCCAGCACCTCCAATTCCACCCCGGCAGGGAAGCTCATCTCTGAGTCCTGGACCTTCTCATAGGCATCTGTGGTGCGGTAGAGGCTGCAGCCCTCGTCTGAGTCTCCCCGGCTGCCTTTAGAGTAGATGGAGGAGATGTCAGAGGTGCTGTGGGAGGACACAGAGTCCTCAGAGGAGATGACAGAGGCTGTTTCAAAGTCTCCTCCTCTGGAGCCCTTCTTCAGCTGGCCTGTAGGCCTCAGCTGTCTCCGGAGGCTGCTGATGTCCATCTTCTCTGCACTGGAGGCCTTGGCCAGCTGGGGCTTAGGCCTGACCAATGGCTTAGGTTTGGTGGAGTCCATCTTGTGCTCCTCTTTGTACTTCTTGGGCCTGGCCAGCTTGGAGAGATCTGGGGTGGACTCTGTAGAGGCAGGTTTGGGTCTGGACACCCCGGCCTCTGCTTTGGTTTGAGACTGAGACTGGCTCCTGTTCAGCTCCAGCTGGTTCTTCTTCCCTTTTCTCCTTGCCCCAAACGTGGAGTGAGAGTTTTCATTCTTGCTAGTCTCCAACGGGGCACTAATCTTCGGGGAGTCGGAGTCGCCACTGGATTGTGTATAAGGCATCTCTCTGAAAGGCATGAAGCCGTCATTCTCATAGATACACTCCTCTCCCTCAGGCTCCTCCTCTTCTTGCCCCACATCCTCGGACGACTCACCCATCTTGAAAGAGGCGCTATGGAGAGAAGTGGCTGGAGATGGCTTGGAGGACAGGTGAGAGCCCTTCTCTGAGGAGCCATCCTCGTTCTTCCCATCCACTGAGGACCCATCTGTCCTGAGGAACTCAAACTCTGACGCCAGATCAAACCCAATGGTAGGAATGTCATATTCTGGCTCCTCGTACACAGGCCTCCTGGAAGATACAGGGGACTCTGGAGCCTCGGACCCAGGACTGCTGGGAGGGGCAGTCTCCTCAGAGTCCTGCTTCTTGATGGGCGGGGCTGGTGGCGGGACTTTGGGCCGGCTCAGAGTGCTGGTTCTGCGGTTTAGGTTGGGCTTCTTTCGTTTGTCGATGTAGGAGCAGGGAGCCCAGCCCTCTTTCTCCCCGATCTGGACATACCACCAGCCACCAGAGTTCTTCTCGATCACCTACAGGACAGAACAGAGAGAATACATGGGTAAGAATAGGCTTTATCAACTACATGCAGTATCTGTTAATTTCAAGAATTTACCTGAACAATGACAAAAACAATAACACATTGGACATGTATGCACTGCAAAATATACATAAAAAAAGCTTACATCTGCTTTTTGTCCTCCATTAAAACTGATGCCATCTGAAATGACGGACTGGAACTCTGCAATTGTGTAGTACTCTGCTTCAACAGTAGGGGGCTCTGGTGGCGAGGGTAAATTGAATCCCTGAGTGGAAAATGAATTTTTTACAGCATTATGTGTATTGCACAGCTGATACTGTTAAAAGGAAACAATAATAATTGGCCATAAAGTCCAACTTCCAACTTAAAATAATGATCTTGTTAGATGTAGATTTCTGCACACAAGCCTAAGATTAACATGTACAATGCCAAGCGATGTGGCTGGAGTGGTGTAAAGCTCGCCGCAATTGGACTTGGGAGCAGTGGAAAAGCGTTCTCTGGAGTGATGAATCACGCTTCACCATCTGGCAGTCCGACGGGCGAATCTGGGTTTGGCGGATGCCAGGAGAACACTACCTGCCCGAATATATAGTGCCAACTCTAATGTTTGGTGTAGGAGGAATAATGGTCTCGGGCTGTTTTTCATGATTCGGGTTAGGCCCCTTAGTTCCAGTGAAGGGAAATCGTAATGCTACAGCATACATAACATGCTAGACGATTTTTTGTGGCAACAGTTTGGGGAAGGCCCTTTCCTGTTTCAGCATGACAATGCCCCCGTGCACAAAGCAAGGTTCATACAGAAATGGTTTGTCGAGATCGGTGTGGAAGAACTTGACTGGCCTGCACAGAGCCTTGACCCCCTCGAAAACCTCTGGGATGAAATGGAACGCCGACTGCGAGCCAGGCCTAATCGCCCAACATCAGTGCCCAACCTCACTAATGCTCTTGTGGCTGAATGTAAGCAAGTCCCCGCAGCAATGCTGCAACATCTAGTGGAAAGCTTTCCCAGAAGAGAGGAGGCTGGTATACCAGCAAAGGGGGGACCAACTCCATATTAATGCCCATGATTTGGAATGAGATGTTCAACGAGCAGCTTCTGGCCATGTAGTGTACATCACTCCTGCACTTGTTTGTTTAGTTGAGCCATGTGCAAATTCCCTAAAATGGTGATAGTAGTCCAACAGTGTCAAATCCTGTAAAAGACTAATAATCCCAGTTGTGCCGTTACTTCCAGTTTCCGGTATTCCAATGACATCACTTCTGGTGCATTTCTACATGGTTAGCATGCTAGCCAGGGTTTCCCATTGTTTCCCATTGTAAATGCAATTTCAGAATGTGGGGGGGACATGTCCCCCCCGTCCCCAGTGAAAGTTGTGCCCCTGGTAAAGAGTGTGGTATGTGCTTGCTAGTTATTGTTAATATTAGCATTTAGTTGCCTTTACGTGCCTTTGTCTAACAGCCTGGCTGTTATTTAACTGTTACTGCTGCTATTGTTGCTGGGGTTTATTGCCATTATCATTCCACTCTTATACACTGTTTACCACTGTTAGCTAATTGCTAATGCTAATGATGCACTGTCATTACTTAATGCTAATTGCTTGCTTAGTACTGATAGTAATTTGCCATTACTGCTAAGCTATGCTACTCTGTTACTATTACCTGCACCCTCATGCTAATTGGTTTATGCTAAGCTATGCTATTTCACGCTAGGCTATGCTGCTATATCCTAGTTTGTACTACTGCTAAACCCTTGCTGCTACAGTTGTTATCGTCATGCTATGCTACTGTATAATATGCCATATTGCTGCTTATGCCATTATTACTCATCCTCTGCTATTACATAGTATTGACACCTAGCCATAACCCTTCTAACAACTTTTTCCCATTTATATTTATTTCTCAGTAAACCATTCATTCAACTACACCATAAAGCCGTCTCTGTCTGAGGCAATAAAGGATTGAACTTGAGTCTGTGTCCTGTTCGTCATTGTGCCTCTAACTGGGTACCCAGAGCGATCGTCCCTTATCTAAACCGGCACCTTAATTTTTGGAGTCCATCACCAGTTGGAGGCGCTGTTTTTCATATAGTAACAATCAAATTATAAATGACTAACTATAAGATTTCACCTTCCTTATAACTGTAAAATAGATATGATCATATTTAGTGAGAGTACAAAATTGGCACCATTTTATAGAAATGTCGACAGAAAATATTCTGCCCTGCGTTCTCTGAGCGACACAGACACGCGATTCAAATGCGTGCTGACACGTTACAACTTCAGCTTTAAGCACAAAGTGATTTCTTCCCTCTGTCACCATAAAAAAAAGAAGCTGTAAATCCGTCTGAGAATATCACAGCGAGATGAGACCGCTGCATTCACTAGGCTCTCCCCTTTCATTTGCCGTAACGCACGTGGGGTTGACTCTCACAGCCAGAGGCAATCAATCCTTTGTCTGGATAGGCCAGAAAATGTGACATGTCACTCCCAATGCAAATTAGGTGTCCAATTTCAAACCCTCCATCTCAGATCCTAGCGGGCAGCGTATAAAGCAATTAATAAATAATAATAATAACATGCCATTTAGCAGATGCTTTTATCCAAAGCGACTTACAGTCATGCGTGCATACATTTTTGTGTATGGGTGGTCCCGGGGATCGAACCCACTACCTTGGCGTTACAAGCGCCATGCTCTACCAGCTGAGCTACAGAGGTGCAATTGATGTTGCACCGTTCACAGAGTGCTCTGTACACAAAAATGACGGTCGGTACCAGTCCCCCTAATTAGGGGACTTTACATCTAAGAGGATTTATGATTTGTTCATACTGACCAGAGTTGCATCTCTGCGAGGAGGTGGCTTTTGTCTGAGGATTGGGGAGCCTAGAGAGAAGAAAATTAGATTGATATAAAATTCTGTGAGGTTACTAGTTTAACAAACCGTTATAACTTCCAATTCAGTCTCTGAATGATAACTCACCGATCTCTATTCTGTGAGGAGCGATGCGGGCTATGGCTGGAGAGGCCGGTTCTGCTTTGCCCTTAACATCCACCAGGGCGCCACCAGGGCTGAAGTCTGAGCTAGAGCAGGGTATGGGCAGGCTGATCTGCCTCTTGACCAGGGAGGGGGTGGTCAGGGGGTTGTCCTCTGACTGGCCGTCTGTCTGCACGTCCTTCTCACTCAGGGCCTTCTTGTTCAGCAGGTTGCTGATCTCCATGATGTTGCCGATTATCTCCACCGGGCCAGTCAAGGGGGTCTTCTTATTACTACTACGGGGAGAGAAGTCCTCCTTAACCTTCTTCAGGTAGGAGGCCGGGGCCCAGCCCTCCTTATCCTGGTACCTGGGGAGAGGGCGTGAGAGATGAAGAGAGAGGGGGTGATCTTGAGTGATAATAACCATAATTGAGAGACAGTATAAACAGGCAACAGTTTATATTGTGGTTGGAGCACAAATCATGGCCTTACCTGATGAACCACCAGCCCTCCAGGTTCTTCTGGATGACCTCCACGATTACTCCTTTCTCAAAGGCAATCTCATCCTTCCCCTCGCTGGTGTATGGCTGCACCGTCATATACTTCTCCTCTGTCAGGCCACAGAGAGGACGTGGGAACACAGAGACTCACGTCAGTTTCAAATGTACTACAAAATATTACTCAAACAAATGAAAAATATGTCAATATTTTATAGGAGGTACTGTAACGATTGTAGAAACACCTCAGAGTGAGTGAAAGTAAATAAAGACATACTGTATCTAGGCTTGAAGTATATAATTTTGTGGACTTGACGGCATTTCTCTGTGTGTAGTTCTGATGTGATTGATTCTGTCAGATCCACAAAGATATCTAGCATTTTACTATGAAAGGCTTTAAGTAATCTGGGAAACTCTAATTAACAATATGATGTCCCTCACTTCATACTGTAAATGTCTTCCTGCAGCAACTGACAATTACATTGACTTTATGTCATGATCTCTGTTTACTAAGTGTAAATATGGGATAAAATAAACTCAGAAACACTGATCTCTTGAAATGGGGAAAACAGTTCTAACGACAGAGTGGACTACTGGCGTGGTAGCGGTCAGCCTCTGTAAACTCAGCAGATGATAGAGAACAGAGATGACATCTTGATTTGTAACTTCCCTAAAGGCCAGAGTACTTCCTGTCATTACAGACTAGAGGCAGTGGTGTAAAGTACTTAAGTAAAAATACTTTAAAGTACTACTTAAGTAGTTTTTTTGGGTATCTGTACTTTACTTTACTATTTATACTTCACTACATTCCTAAAGAAAATATTGTACTTTTTACTCCATACATTTTCCCTGACAACCAAAAGTACTTACATTTTGAATGCTTAGCAAGACAGGAAAATAGTCAAATTCACGCAGTTATCAGGAGAACACGTGGTCACTCTGGTCTGGCGGACTCACTAAACACAAATGCAACTTTTAGAAATAATGTCTGAGTGTTGGAGTGTGCCCCTGGATATCCGAAAATTTAAAAAACAAGACAATTGTGCCGTCTGCTTTGCTAAATAATAGGAATTTTAAATTATTTATACTGTTACTTTTACTTTTCATACTTAAGTATATTTAAACCAAATACTTTGACTTTTACTCAAGTAGAATTTTACTGGCTGACTTTACCTTTTACTTGAGTAACTTTCTATTAAGATATCTATACTTTTACTCAAGTATGACAATTGGGTACTTTTTCCAACACTGACCAGAGGTCTCATCTCATTACACCGTAAAACACAGGCAGGCGGAGGGAACGCTGCCCTACAGTGTAAAGAGAGGAGAATACCTATCTACATGCTAAGACCGTTTGAATACCTCTGGAATCACTGGATTCCTATTTGATATCTAATAACTCTCTCCTTTCCTCTACCCCTGTTGAGTCTCATCAGGGATTTAGAAGGACTGAATAAGGATATAGTAAAAATTCATTTTACTTGCAAAGAAATAGGCCTATGTACAGCCTTGTAAATAAAACCGAAAAGGCCATTTCCTGTATGCTTTGTTTTCCCCTGCACTTTCTTACGGGACTTCCAGTCTCTCTCCCTACAGGGGCAACCCTGTTCAACCTTCCTGAGCCCACACTCACCAGCGGGGGGAACCTCTGAATAAGATATTATGTTAACCACAACATACATCGCCTGCATAACTTTGATAAACTATTTTCCTGCAGTCAGCACTATTTCAGCTTTTTTCCCCACAGGCAAGATTTAGTTCCTGCAGTGGAAAAAGCTATTTTTACTCCAGAGGCCGTTTGTTGTTTTTCCCGCTTTGGACACTGTTGCCAAGCACAAACCTTGGGCTGGACTCAAATAGCCTATCCTCACTCCGCTGTCAGCAATCCAACCCGCATCCCCTGTCAAAAAACCCTGTCTCGAGGCAAGGGTAATGTTGCAAGCACAAACACTTTTCACTGCAAGCACAAACACTTTTCACTCTTACTCCAACAGATGAATACAATTCTTTATTGGCCTGGTCCATCGGTAGACCTGCTTGCTCTCAACACCTCCGGTTGTTAAACGTCTGGCTTTTTAACTCAGTCTCTTTTGAAAAGTACATATGTGTACATGTTTCACTTGGCTCGTAAAAAGCCAACTAAAGTGGCAAAATATTGCATGTGGCCTACCAACTTTTAGATGGTTGTGCAGCTATAGCTGTAATTCAGAAAAGATTGGAGTTGCACATTGGGGTTCATTCAAATAAACTGATTACATGACACAATCTCTTCCAACACTGCCGCATTCAAGTGCAGAAACTGAGTAACAACAAGATGGTCAATTTTTTCTATGTTTATCTTCTAGCATAAGGTCAAACCTGTAACTGCTGAAAACCACCAATGTGAAAACCAATTTAGCATTGTAATGACATGTCTGGACTGTTTATTAGCTGGTTTATAATGATGTTAGTGGTTATTGGGTGTGGATCATGATGGTGTAGAAGATGGCATATGACACAAACCAAGACATTAGGTATCAGGTATGAGAGAGAAGACAGGACAATGTACAATGGGGTCAGAGAATAGAAGGAGGTCGGCGCCCTGTCTCTGATCACCTCTGCTCTGCTGCCTGCTGACCATTCCCCCCAGGGTCCATCTCCGGTCCAGCCTCTTCAGATGGGCCTTACGGCGCTTAGTGACTGACCCATGTAGATAGTGACCAGACAAAAACACAAATGGGGACATAAACATAAAAGATGGGCACATACAAACAACATGGACTCAACTAAAGGACTGATATTAGTTACTTACATGACAAACATGGAAACAACAACACCACATTGCAATGGAAGGACTGTACGATGATGTGGCTTGCAATTAGTGCAGTTATTAGCATGGTTTTCCCATCCTCTACTGCAGGAGCATCTGTGGCACACATTGCTGCTTGGGAATGCCATCCAATTAATAGACCAGCTGAATTCCTTTGGCAGCAGCTCTATGCCAGGTCTATAATTGTTGATGGTTTTTGTTAGTTAAATGCAGGAGATGGGAATGATTAGGAGCTTCGGAGCAATCTTTTGTCACAGCCAACACTATAAACGTCAGGGCTTATATAAATATCTAATTCAAGAAAAAGCATTCCATCACTAAACCAGAACACTAATCTCAAAGTTTAGCAGGCGGTTGAGATTTCAGGCAAAATGTACATACACTGTGAGCTGAAAAACGGAAATAAAAAAAGTCCCTGTTCAAAAATATACAACAACTGACCCACATACTCCTCCAGAACACTAATGTGCACTTGTGGTGTTTGTGTAAATGTGAAAATCCAGAAAGGTGTCATACTAACAGAAAGATTAATTCCTCTCCCAAAAAACTTGATAAGGAATGGATATGCATTCTGTATGCAGGCCTTGGTAGGAAGAAGCCTGTTGAGATTACTGTGTAACTATTGGACTATAGAGGTTAATTCAATGCAGCATGTGCTGCATGCTCTCTCCTCTCTCCTTCAGTCAGAAGATCTACAGTGTCAGAATGCGACGGTGAAATGCGGTAGGCGAAGTCAAACGCAGGACACAGAGCTTACTGGAAACATACTTTACTCGAAGGTAACCAGAGTAGAATGCAATCTCCACAATAGGAGGATAAACAACCCGCACACGAACACTGCCGATGACGAATACAATAACACACAATGAACGACAGAGGGTTAAATAGGGAATACAATACAACATAATGGGGAACAGGTGTACACAATCAGGACAAAACAAGTCAAACACCGAAACATAGATCGGTGGCAGCTAGTACTCCGGGGACGACGAACGCCGAAGCCTGCCCGAGCAAGGAGGAGGAGCAGCCTCGGCTGATTCTGTGACATACAGTGCCAGAGGTAATGTGGGTCACAGTGTTTTGGAGTCGACACTCTGTACAGCTGTTTTCACCAGGGTGCTTGAAAATGTAAATATTTGTTTGGAACAGTAAGATGCAAGTAAATGATTTCAATCCTTAAAGTTTCTTCTTTCCAAACTACATGAAATGCATTAGGGAGGTACTGCGGGTATGTAATTATGCCAACTGTAAAATAATGACCTATACAGTGGTGGCCTTTTCCACGATATTAGCACTCTGAGTATGAGAGAGAGGAGAGTGAAAATGTTAAGGCACTAACGAGAAAGCAGCTCTCGATATTGGGATTTTTCAGCCCTCTAACCAATTGTACTATTATGTGTGTTTTTTTGCGTTATTTGTAATTTATTCTGTACGTAATGTTTCTGCCATCGACTCTTATAACCAAAAAGAGCTTCTGGATATCAGGACAGCGATTACTCACCTCTTATTGGACAAAGATTTTTTCTTAAACGAGGCGGCCGCGAAGGATATCCTACAGACACCCGACAAGGCCCAAATCCCCGTCATTCGCGGGAGAAAGGGACGGAGAAATCGTGGACGTAGGTCAAATAAAATAAAATAAAATAAAATTTTATTGGTCACATGTGCCGAATACAACAGGTGCAGACATTACAGTGAAATGCTTACTTACAGCCCTTAACCAACAGTGCATTTATTTTTAACAAAAAAAGTAAAAATAAAACAACAACAAAAAAAAGTGTTGAGAAAAAAAAGAGAAGAAGTAAAATAAAGTAACAGTAGGGAGGCTATATATACAGGGGGGTACCGTTGCAGAGTCAATGTGCGGGGGCACCGGCTAGTTGAGGTAGTTGAGGTAATATGTACATGTGGGTAGAGTTAAAGTGACTATGCATAAATCATTAACAGAGTAGCAGCAGCGTAAAAAGGATGGGGTGGGGGAGCAGTGCAAATAGTCCGGGTAGCCATGATTAGCTGTTCAGGAGTCTTATGGCTTGGGGGTAGAAGCTGTTGAGAAGTCTTCTGGACCTAGACTTGGCACTCCGGTACCGCTTGCCGTGCGGTAGCAGAGAGAACAGTCTATGACTAGGGTGGCTGGAGTCTTTGACAATTTTGAGGGCCTTCCTCTGACACCGCCTGGTATAGAGGTCCTGGATGGCAGGAAGCTTGGCCCCAGTGATGTACTGGGCCGTACGCACTACCCTCTGTAGTGCCTTGCGGTCGGAGGCCGAGCAGTTGCCATACCAGGCGGTGATGCAACCAGTCAGGATGCTCTCGATGGTGCAGCTGTAGAATTTTTTGAGGATCTGAGGACCCATGCCAAATCTTTTCAGTTTCCTGAAGGGGAATAGGCTTTGTCGTGCCCTCTTCACGACTGTCTTGGTGTGTTTGGACCATGATAGTTCGTTGGTGATGTGGACACCAAGGAACTTGAAGCTCTCAACCTGTTCCACTACAGCCCCGTCGATGAGAATGGGGGCGTGCTCAGTCCTCTTTTTTTTCCTGTAGTCCACAATCATCTCCTTTGTCTTGGTCACGTTGAGGGAGAGGTTGTCCGGGTGCCTCGTAAGGATCCGACGGCGAACGAGTAAACTGCCTCTTCCATCAATCCTATTAGCCAATCTTCAATCATTGGAAAATAAATTAGATGACCTGCGATTACGCTTAATCCTACCAACGGGACATTAAAAACTGCAATATCTTATGTTTCACCGAGTCGTGGCTGAACATTTACATTTACATTTACGTAATTTAGCAGACGCTCTTATCCAGAGCGACTTACAAATAGGTGCATTCACCTTATAGCCAGTGGGATTTTTTTTTTGGGGGGGGGGGGGGGGGGGGGGGGGGGTTGGAGTAAGGGGGGGGGGTAGAAGGATGACTTTATCCTATCCCAGGTATTCCTTAAAGAGGTGGGGTTTCAAATGTCTCCGGAAGGTGGTGAGTGACTCCGCTGTCCTGGCGTCGTGAGGGAGCTTGTTCCACCATTGGGGTGCCAAAGCAGCGAACAGTTTTGACTGGGCTGAGCGGGAACTATGCTTCCGCAGAGGTAGGGGAGCCAGCAGGCCAGAGGTGGATGAACACAGTGCCCTCGTTTGGGTTTAGGGACTGATCAGAGCCTGAAGGTACGGAGGTGCCGTTCCCCTCACAGCTCCGTAGGCAAGCACCATGGTCTTGTAGCAGATGCGAGCTTCAACTGGAAGCCAGTGGAGTGTGCGGAGGAGCGGGGTGACGTGAGAGAACTTGGGAAGGTTGAAGACGGGCTGCGGCATTCTGGATGAGTTGAAGGGGTTTAATGGCACAGGCAGGGAGCCCAGCCAACAGCGAGTTGCAGTAATCCAGACGGGAGATGACAAGTGCCTGGATTAGGACCTGTGCCGCTTCCTGAACGACGACATGGACAACATACAGCTAGCGGGCTATACGCTACATCGATAGGATAGAACGGCTGACTCCGGTAAGACAAGGGGTGGCGGTCTGTGTATATTTGTAAACAACAGCTGGTGAACAAAATCAAATACTAAGGAAGTCTCGAGGTTTTGCTCGCCTGAGGTAGAGTACCTTATGATAAGCTGTAGACCACACTATTTACCAAGAGAATTTTCATCTATATTTTTCACAGCTGTTTATTTATCACCACAAACCAATGCTGGCATTAAGATTGCACTCAATGAGCTGTATAAGGCCATAACTAAACAGGAAAACGCTCATCCAGAGGCAGCGCTCCAAGTGGCCGGGGACTTTAATGCAGGGAAACTTACATCCGTTCTACCTAATTTCTACCAGCATGTTAAGTGCAACCAGAGGAAAAAAAACTCTAGACCACCTTTACTCCACACACAGAGACGCATACAAAGCGCTCCCTTGCCCTCCATTTGGCAAATCTGACCATAACTCTATCCTCCTGATTCCTGCTTATAAGCAAAAACTAAAGCAGGAAGCACCAGTGACTCAGTTAATAAAAAAGTGGTCAGATGACACAGATGCTAAGCTACAGGACTGTTTTGCTAGCACAGACTGGAACATGTTCCGGGATTCTTCAGATAGCATTGAGGAGTACACCACATCAGTCACTGGCTTCATCAATAAGTGCATCGATGATGTCGTCCTCACAGTGACCGTACGTACATACCCCAACCAGAAGCCATGGATTACAGGCAACATCCGCACTGAGATAAAGGGTAGAGCTGCCGCTTTCAAGGATCGGGACTCTATCCCGGACGCTTATAAGAAATCCCGCTATGCCCTCCGACGAACCATCAAACAGGCAAAGAGTCAATACAGGACTAAGATTGAATCGTACTACACTGGCTCTGATGCTCGTTGGATGTGGCAGGGCTCGAAAACTATTACAGACTACAAAGGGAAGCACAACCATGAGCTGCCCAGTGACACAAGCCTACCAGACGAGCTAAACCATTTCTATGCTCGCTTCGAGGCAAGCAACACTGAAGCATGCATGAGAGCACCAGCTGTTCCGTATGACTATGTGATCACGCTCTCCGTAGCCGATGTGAGTAAGACTTTTAAGCAGGTCAACATTCACAAGGCCGCAGGGTCAGACGGATTACCAGGACGTGTACTCCGAGCATGTGCTGACTAACTGGCAAGTGTCTTCACTGACATTTTCAACATGTCCCTGATTGAGTCTGTAATACCAACATGTTTCAAGCAGACCAGCATTGTCCCCGTGCACAAGGACACTAAGATAACCTGCCTAAATGACTACCGACCCGTAGCACTGACGTCTGTAGCCATGAAGTGCTTTGAAAGGCTGGTCATGGCTCACATCAACATCATTATCCCAGAAACCCTAGACTCAGTCCAATTTGCATACCGCCCCAACAGATCCACAGATAATGCAATTTCTATTGCACTCCACACTGCCCTTTCCCACCTGGACAAGAGGAACACCTACGTGAGAATGCTATTCATTGACTACAGCTCAGCGTTCAACACCATAGTGCCCTCAAAGCTCATCACTAAGCTAAGGATCCTGGGACTAAACACCTCCCTCTGCAACTGGATCCTGGACTTCCTTGCAGGCCGCCCCCAGGTGGTAAGGGTAGGTAACAACACATCTGCCACGCTGATCCTCAACACGGGGGCCCCTCAGGGGTGCGTGCTCAGTTCCCTCCAGTACTCCCTGTTCACCCATGACTGCATGGCCAGGCACGACTCCAACACCATCATTACGTTTTTCGACAACACAACAGTGGTAGGCCTGATCACTGACAACGATGAGACAGCATATAGGGAGGAGGTCAGAGACCTGGCCGTGTGGTGCCAGGATAACAATGTGACCAAGACAAAGGAGATGACTGTGGACTACAGGAAAAAAAAGAGGACTGAGCACGCCCCCATTCTCATCAATGGGGCTGTAGTGGAACAGGTTGAGAGCTTCAAGTTCCTTGGTGTCCACATCACCAATGAACTATCATGGTCCAAACATACCAAGACAGTCGTGAAGAGGGCACGACAAAGCCTATTTCCCGTCAGGAGACTGAAAAGATTTGGCATGGGCCTCAGATCCTCAAAAAGTTCTACAGCTGCACCATCGAGAGCATCCTGACTGGTTGCATCACCGCCTGGTATGGCAACTGCTCGGCCTCCGACCGCAAGGCACTACAGAGGGTAGTGCGTACGGCCCAGTACATCACTGGGGCCAAGCTTCCTGCCATCCAGGACCTCTATACTAGGCGGTGTCAGAGGAAGGCCCTCAAAATTGTCAAAGACTCCAGCCACCCTAGTCATAGACTGTTCTCTCTGCTACCGCACGGCAAGCGGTACCGGAGCGCCAAGTCTAGGTCCAAAAGGCTTCTCAACAGCTTCCACCCCCAAGCCATAAGACTCCTGAACAGCTAATCATGGCTACCCGGACTATTTGCACCCCCACCCCATCTTTTTACGCTGCTGCTACTCTGTTAATTATTTATGCATAGTCACTTTAACTCTACCCACATGACATATTACCTCAACTAGCCGGTGCCCCCACACATTGACTCTGCACCGGTACCCCCCTGTATATAGCCTCCCTACTGTTATTTTATTTTACTTCTGCTCTTTTTTTCCTCAACACTTTTTTGTTGTTGTTTTATTTTACTTTTTTATAAAAAAATTAATGCATTGTTGGTTAAGGGCTATAAGTAAGCATTTCACGGTAATGTCTACACCTGTTGTATTAGGCGCATGTGGCAAATACAATTTGATTTGATTTGATTTGATTGGCTAGATTATGACATTGCTAGGACTGTCACACAAGACAATATAGCCTAACCCATGCTGTGTCTTTTGGGAAATGGAGTTCTAATGACTGCATGAGTGGATCCCAATTTTATGTCAGCATGATCGTTTAGCAAACAACCCTCTTGCTTAGGTGTTAACGCAGAATATAGCAGCATACGACCATTGCACAGACAAAGCAACATTCATCACTATCTTCTAGTTTTGTGTCATAATCAGTCTGTATAAATTGACATGATTTATCTCAGGGCCTGGAATAAATAACTTCAGACATGACTTTACTAGTGATTGACTCACATAAAATAACTCCTCACAGCTCAATCCCTACAGTGAACCAAACATGCGCCTCTTTCATTCGTTTACCGCCCCAAACTCCAAGGAGGTAACCTCTTTTTAGTATTGCATTGAATTTCTACACTGCTACTGTAGAGTACAATACGTCACTCAGTGCACCTCAGCCCAGAGATGTGGCTTAGGCCCTGACACTCCTTCTCCAGGCTATTTATTCAGGGAGGACTCTGGAGCTTGTTCGGGGGTGTTTATAGTGGCAGCAGCACAAAGAAGGGTGTTCACACCGGGGGAAAGTCGGACGTTAACGTCAGTCGGCGGTGATTCGGGGGTGGGAGTCAGACTACTTTACCCTTTTAGAGATGGGGGTGGTGGAGGTACAGCGGTCTTGTACGTTGTGGGATATTGCACATCCACAAATTTCACCCAGTTGCTGGACATGACGACGTCTAATGTGGTCTGTATTGTGGTGCAGCTTGTATACTGTATACTGTATGTCGTGTACATGTTTTCTTTCTGTATTCATAGTGGTGTGGAGCTCTTACCCTCCCCGGACTTGGAGGCGCCCAGCTCCAGGTCATCTCGTGTATTGCTGTAGGTTTTCAGGTAGGTGGCAGGAACCCAGCCCTGCTCCTCCGCTGTACTGACAAACCACCAGCCTGGGGGCACAGAGAGAGAGAGGTCAATTGAGATTTTGTGGGGTGTTTGTCGACTAGCACAGCATCTTTCAGTATGGTTTATAATCTTATAAATGACTTTAGAGAAGTGTTCCTCCTCCATTTCAAGAATAATGTTTGTTCTAGCTAATAGACCCTGACTCAAAACTGTTTCTTGGATGACTGGTGTGGTTGAAAGACACATGGATGTAGAGAAAACATGAACTATTCTCTATCACCAACAGGTTCTCTAATTAATATCAAATCAAATGTTATTTGTCACATGCTTCGTAAACAAAAGGTGTACATTAACAGTGAAATGCTTACTTATGGGCCCTTCCCAACAATGCAGAGAGAAAAAATATAAATAATAGAACAATTATAACGTGTGGATATAATAACAATAACAGAAGGGTTGTAAATATGTCATGTGTGGAGCATTTCATTAAAAAAAAACAGTGTAGGCCTAATATAGAGTAGTTTACTTAATAAAAATCTATACAAAATAAAATTGGCTCACTCTCGTGCCTCTCTCCAGTTACTACTTACATCAGATGCACGTGGAGATGTTCACAATTACACATGTCCATATCCATGAATTCATCCGACTCTAGGTAAATACAAGGGCTGCCAAAATCTCGTAATGTGGTTGTTATCAGCTTTGTACAAGCAACTGTCTTGTGAGCGCTGAGCAGCAGCACTCACAAGACAACCATTTTGAAAAGAAGGTTGATGACGTCCGATCCTCATTTGTTAAGTCAAATGACACCGCTGGTCCTGCTCACACTGCCCTACCCTTTGACTTCTTTCTCCCCTCTCGCTCCAGATGAAATCTTGCGACTTGTGACGGCCGCCCGCCCAACAACCTGCCCGCTTGACCCTATTCCCTCCTCTCTTCTCCAGACCTTTTCCGGAGACCTTCTCCCTTACCTAACCTCGCTCATCAACTCATCCTTGACTGCTGGCTATGTCCCTTCCGTCTTCAAGAGAGCGAGAGTTGCACCCCTTCTCAAAAAACCTAAACTCGATCCCTCCGATGTCAACAACTACAGACCAGTATCCATTCTTTATTTTCTCTCCAAAACTCTTGAGCGTGCCGTCTTTAGCCAACTCTCTTGCTATCACTCTCAGAATTACTTTCTTGATCCAAACCAGTCAGGTTTCAAGACTGGTCATTCAACTGAGACTTCTCTTCTCTGTGTCACGGAGGCTCTCCACACTGCTAAAGCTAACTCTCTCTCCTCTGCTCTCGTCCTTCTAGACCTATCTGCTGCCTTTGATACTGTGAACCATCAGATCCTCCTCTCCACCCTCTCCGAGTTGGGCATCTCCGGCGTGGCTCACTCTTGGATTGCGTCCTACCTGACAGGTCGCTCCTACCAGGTGGCGTGGCGAGAATCTGTCTCCGCACCACATGCTCTCACCACTGGTGTCCCCCAGGGCTCAGTTCTAGGCCCTCTCCTATTCTCGCTATACACCAAGTCACTTGGCTCTGTCATATCCTCACATGGCCTTTCCTATCATTGCTACGCAGATGACACACAATTAATCTTCTCCTTTCCCCCTTCTGATAACCAGGTGGCGAATCGCATCTCTGCATGTCTGGCAGACATATCAGTGTGGATGACGGAACACCACCTCAAGCTGAACCTCGGCAAGACGGAGCTGCTCTTCCTCCCGGGGAAGGACTGCCCGTTCCATGATCTCGCCATCACGGTTGACAACTCCGTTGTGTCCTCCTCCCAGAGTGCAAAGAGCCTTGGCGTGACCCTGGACAAAACACCCTGTCGTTCTCCGCTAACATCAAGGCGATGACCCGATCCTGTAGGTTCATGCTCTACAACATTTGCAGAGTACGACCCTGCCTTACACAGGAAGCGGCACAAGTCCTGATCCAGGCACTTGTCATCTCCTTTCTGGATTACTGCAACTCGCTGTTGGCTGGGCTCCCTGCCTGTGCCATTAAACCCCTTCAACTCATCCAGAACGCCGCAGCCCGTCTGGTGTTCGACCTTCCCAAGTTCTCTCATGTCACCCCGCTCCTCCGCACACTCCACTGGCTTCCAGTTGAAGCTCGCATCTGCTACAAGACCATGGTGCTTGCCTACGGAGCTGTGAGGGGAATGGCACCTCCGTACCTTCAGGCTCTGATCAGTCCCTAAACCCAAACTAGGGCACTACGTTCATCCACCTCTGGCCTGCTGGCTCCCTTACCTCTGCGGAAGCACAGTTCCCGCTCAGCCCAGTCAAAACTGTTCGCTGCTCTGGCACCCCAATGGTGGAACAAGCTCCCTCACGATGCCAGGACAGCGGAGTCACTCACCACCTTCCGGAGACACTTGAAACCCCACCTCTTTAAGGAATACCTGGGATAGGATAAAGTAATCCTTCTACCCCCCCTTACCCCACCCCAAAAAACTAAAAAAAAAAATATATATATTGTATAGTGGTTGTCCCACTGGCTATCATAACGTGAATGCACCAATTTGTAAGTCGCTCTGGATAAGAGTGTCTGCTAAATGACGAAAATGTAAATGTAAATGGGAGCAGTTGCTAGGCTATTCACACGCAGAGTGGCTGTATTGCATTAGTGGAAACCAAGACTGTTCTCAGGGCATATCTGCCGGTTTTGACTAGCAGAAGGGACTTTTCGCAGCAGGTTAGGAGAATTAACGTGGCAAGTTAGGAGAATTAACTTGGCAGGTTAGGATAATTAGGTTAAGGTTAGGAAAAGTGTTAGCTAAAATAATCCCTGACGCGACTCGAACATCTAGCTACAACCAGGCTTGCCCTGAGAACAGTCTTGGTTTCCACTAATGCGATGCTGCCACAGAACAGGGACAGACAGACGAGCAGCTAACAGAGGAAGTTATTTCTGATTCTGCGCTTAAAAATGAGCACGGAAAGAGAGTGATTTTTATTGGGATGGGACAGGAAAGTTCCAGGGTTATATAACTGTTGCGGGATCAGGACAGTGCAGGAAAAAAACTGACAGGACAGGAGGGGACAGGAATTAATTGTCACTTCTGTGTCAATCTCTAGTATGCACTACCCTCTATAGTGCCTTGCGGTCGGCTGCCAAGCAGTTGCCATACCAAGCGGTGACGCAGCCAGTCAACATAATCTCAATGGTGCAGCTGTAGAACATTTTGAGAATCTGAGGGCCCATACCGAATATTTTCAGCCTCCTGAGAGGGAAGAGGCATTGTTGTGCATTCTTCACAACTGTGTTGGTGTGTGTGGACCATGATAATTCCTTAGTGATGTGGACACCGAGGAAGTTGAAGCTCTCGACCCGCTCCACTACAGCCCGTCGATGTGGATGGGGGTGGGTTTGGCTCTCTGTTTCCTGAAGTCCACAATCAGCTCCTTTGTCTTGCTGGCGTTCAGGGAGAGGTTGTTGTCCTGGCACCAAACTGCCAGGTCACTGACCTCCTCCCTATAGACCGTCTCAACGTCATCTGTGATCAGGCTAACCACTGTCGTGTAGTCAGCAAAATCAATTATGGTGTTGGAGTCATGCGCGGCCACGCAGACGTGGGTGAACAGGGAGTGCAGGAGGAGACTAAGCGCGCACCCCTGAGGGGCCCCTGTGTTGAGGGTCAGGGTGGTGGATGTGTTGTTGCCTACCCTCACCACCTAGGGGCGGTCAGTCAGAAAGTCTAGGATCCAGTTGCAGAGGGAGGTGTTCAGTCCCAGGGTCCTGAGCTTAGTGAGCTTGTAGGTCAATATGGTGTTGAATGCTCAGCTGTCTGTCCCCACTAGTGTTGAACAGCATTCTCACGTAGGTGTTCCTCTTGTCCAGGTGGAAGAGGGCAGTGTGGAGTGCAACAGAGATTGCGTCACCTGTGGATCTGTTGGGGCAAAATGCGAATTGGAGTGGGTCCAGGGTGTTTGGAATGATTTTGTTGATGTGATCCATGACCAGCCTTTCAAAGCATTTCATGGCTCCAGATGTGAGTGCTATGGAGCGATAGTCATTTAGACAGGTTACCTTGGCGTTCTTGGGCACAGAGACTATGGTGGTCTGCTTCAAACATGTAGGTATTACAGATTTGGTCAGGGACAGGTTGAAAATGTCAGTAAAGTCACTTGCCAGCTGGTCAGAGCATACTCTGAGTACGCATCCTGGTAATTCATCTGGTCCTGCGGGCTTGTGAATGTTAACCTGTTTAAAGGTCTTGGTTCAGTGTTGCTTGCTTCGAAGTGAGCATCGAAGGAATCTGTGATAGTTTGCAAGCCCTGCCACATCTGACAAGCGTCAGAGTCGGCGTAGTAGGATTCGATCCTGTATTGATGTTTTGACCCATCTGTGGCCCATTGGAGGTCGTAGCGGGATTTCTTATAAGCGTCCGGATTAGTGTCCCACTCCTTGAAAGCTGCAGCTCTAGCCTTTAGCTCAGTGCGAATGTTGCCTATAATCCATGGCTTCTGGTTGGGATATGTACGTATGGTCACTGTGGGGATGAAGTCGTCGATGCACTTATTAATGAAGCCGGTTACTGATGTTATAAACTTCTCAATGTTATCGGATAAATCCCGGAACATATACCAGTCAGTGCTAGCGAAACAGTCCTGTAGCTTAGCATCCACTTCATTGGACTACTTCCGTATTAAACGCGTCACTGGTACTTCCTGTTTGAGTTTTTGCTTGTAAGCAGCAGGGGATACAGTTTTGGTCAGATATGCCAACTGGAGGGCGAGGGATAGCTTTGTATGCGTTTCTGTGTGTGGAGTAAAGATGACCTAGAGTTTTTTCGCCTCCAGTTGCACAGGTGACATACTGGTAAAAATTAGGTAAGACGGATTTCAGTTTCCCTGCATTGAAATCATGGCCACTAGGAGCACCTCCTCTGGATGTGCATTTTCTTGTTTGCTTATGGCCCTATACAGCACGTTGAGTGCAGTCTTAGTGCCAGCATCGGTTTGTGGTGGTAAATAGACAGCTACAAAATATAGATAAAACCTCTCTTGGTAAATAGTATGGTATGCAACTTATCA